AACTAGAGCTCAAGCCACTTCCCCCGCACCTAAGGTATAAATTTCTTGGCTCTAATGATACTTTACCCGTAATTGTTTCGTCTTTGTTGAATGATTTGCAGGTAGAGCAATTGTTGGAATTCTTGAAGGAGCATAGGCAAGCCATTGGATGGACAATTGTGGACATCCGAGGGATTCCCGCGGGAATTTGTGAACACAAGATCCAATTGGAGAGTGACACGAAGCCTAGTGTGGAACATCAACGATGGTTGAATCCGTCAATGCAAGAGGTAGTAAAGAAAGAAATCATCAAGTGGTTGGATGCCGGGGTGGTCTACCCTATTGCCGATAGTTCTTGGGTGAGTCCGGTGCAATGTGTACCGAAAAAGGGAGGCATGACCGTAATTGAAAATGATAAAAATGAGCTCATCCAACAAGAACGGTGACCGGTTGGAGGGTGTGTATGGATTATCGGAAGCTCAATAGTGCAACATGCAAATACCATTTCCCTATGCCTTTTATTGATCAAATGCTTGATCGGCTAGCGGGAAGGTCATTCTATTGTTTCCTTGACGGATATTCCGGCTACAACCAAATCAACATCGCATTGGAGGATCAAGAGAAAACAACATTCACTTGTCCCTATGGAACTTTTGCCTTTAGTCGGATGCCATTTGGTTTGTGCAATGCTCCGGCTACTTTTCAAAGATGCATGATGTCCATTTTCTCCGACATGGTGGAGGATTTTCTAGAGGTCTTCATGGATGACTTCTCGGTAGTAGGTGACTCTTTTGAGCATTGTCTTAACAATCTTAGACAAGTGCTTAAGAGATGTGAGGAAACCAACCTTGTGCTAAATTGGGAGAAATGCCATTTCATGGTGGATGAAGGCATCGTATTGGGGCATAAAATTTCAAAGCATGGCATTGAGGTTGACCGGGCTAAGGTCGAGATTATTTCCAAGCTTCCTCCACCTACTTCGGTAAAAGGTGTCCGAAGTTTCTTGGGGCATGCCGGATTCTATAGGCGGTTCATCAAGGATTTCTCCAAGATTGCAAATCCTATGTGCAAACTCCTTGAGAAGGACGCCAAATTTGTGTTTGATGAAAAATGCCTCAAGGCTTTTGATGAATTAAAGCTAAGGCTCACCACGGCACCTATTATTGTCACACCCGATTGGTCTCTTCCTTTCGAGCTCATGTGTGACGCTAGTGGTGTAGCTATTGGAGCAATGCTTGGCCAACGTCACAACAAGGTTCTCCACCCGGTCTATTATGCAAGCAAGACACTCAATGGGGCACAAATGAATTACACGGTGACTGAGCAAGAGCTTCTTGCCATTGTTTATGCCTTTGAGAAATTCCGGGCTTATTTGTTGGGATCCAAAGTGATAGTGTACACGGATCATGCTGCTCTTTGCTATATTATGGCAAAGAAGGATGCAAAGCCGCGGTTGATTCGATGGGTTTTATTGTTGCAAGAGTTTGACTTCGAGGTCAAGGATCGCAAGGGAACTCAAAACCAAGTAGCGGATCACTTATCAAGGCTTGATGAAGCAGGAAGACAAAGGGGGGATCTTGAAATCAATGATGCATTCCCGGATGAACATATCTTGGCACTATCTAGCACTTTTGCTCTATGGTATGCCGACATTGCTAACTATTTGGTGAGTGACCTTATTCCGGAGGGATTGGAGTCTTATCAAAAGAAGAAGTTCTTGAGAGATTGTCGGCAATATTATTGGGAAGAGCCATACTTGTTCCGTGTTTGTGCCGACAACATCATCCGAAGATGTGTTCCCGAAGAAGAAGTTATACCTATTCTAAAAGCATGCCATGACTCGCCGGTTGGGGGTCATCATGGGGGTAATCGGACGGCGGCTAAGGTTCTTGAATGTGGTTATTATTGGCCTTCCATCTATCATGATGCCAATCAAACGGTCAAGGCTTGCGACCAATGTCAACGACAAGGTTCAATCTCCAAGAGGCATGAAATGCCAATGCACTTTGTGATGGAGGTAGAGATCTTCAACGTATGGGGAATCGACTTTATGGGTCCCTTTGTAAGCTCTTGTGGGATGAAATATATCTTGGTAGCTGTGGAATACGCGTCCAAGTGGGTTGAAGCAGTTGCCTTACCAAACAATGAGGCAAGGAGTGTGACCGCATTCTTGAAGAAAACATATTCACTCGGTTTGGCACTCCTAGAGCCATTCTTAGTGACGGTGGATCTCATTTCTGTAACAAGGCTTTCTCGGGGCTACTTGAGAAGTATGGCGTCAAGCACAAGGTGGCCACACCTTATCATCCACAGTCAAGTGGTCAAGTTGAGGTTTCCAACCGGGAGATCAAGAGCATTCTAGCAAAAACTGTTAACGCTAATAGGACCGACTGGTCAAGGAAGCTAGATGATGCATTATGGGCATACCGCACGGCATACAAGACTCGCATTGGCACTTCTCCTTATCGGTTAGTCTTTGGTAAAGCATGTCATCTACCCGTGGAGTTGGAACACAAAGCGATGTGGGCATTGAAAAGGCTGAACTTAGACTGGGCTGAAGCTGCAAATTTGAGGTTAACACAACTCAATGAAATGGAGGAATTCCGGTTCCATGCTTATGAAAGTGCAGCTGTGTACAAAGAACGGATGAAGTTTGTCCATGACAAGAAGATCTTGAAAAGAGAGTTCAAGACGGGTGATTTGGTCTTGCTCTTTAACTCAAGGCTCAAATTGTTTCCGGGCAAGCTCAAATCAAAATGGTCCGGTCCATTCAAAGTAGTCAATGTCTTTCCTTATGGAGCGGTGGAATTAGAATCAACAGATGGGTCCCGGACATTCAAGGTAAATGGCCAACGCATCAAGCATTATTTGGGCACTAATGGAGAAAAACATTTGGTGGAGCAGCTGGCTCTCAAAGATGGTCCACGCCCGACCATTGAGTGAAACCAAAGGAACCTCAACTTCGTCGTGCCGCAACGTTAAATCAAGCGCTTCATGGGAGGCAACCCATGTGTGGTAACACTCTTTTGTTCTTTGAATTGTTAGTTATTGATAGATAGATTTATTTGAACAATTTAAAGGGTGTGTTAGAGTGCAGGGGGTTCAAAAGATCACAACACTTGGTAGGGATGCATAAAAAAGGGAAGCAAAACCACTATGTGAAGTCTGCTGCACAGATGCGGTCGCATTATCACTATGCGAACCGCATTGCGATCGCAAACACAAGTAGAAGGTTTGGTTAAAATTGGGGGTAAAAATGCGGTGAGTTGGTGCACTCTGCGGACCGCATTTCACTTATGCGGCCGCATTGTGCACCGTATTTGCCTCCCTTCAGCTTGGTCCTTAACCTTATCGCATAACACACATGCAGTCGCATTGTGTGTTATGCGGTGTCTTATCCATCGCAGAATTGGCAAGGTAAGTCCGCATAACCCTCTCGTCTCTCACCCACATAAAATAAAACAAAAAAATTTTAAAAAAGGATGCAGAAAAAAAAACAAAACAAAAAAGGGAAAAGAAAAACAAAAAAAGGGGGAAGAACAAGAACGGACTTCGAACCAAATCAAGCTCAAATTGTGTGCAACCAAAGGACTCTATTTGTCACGCTCATTGTCCCAATAATCAAACTCTCTTGGTATGTACCCGTTTCTCCCTCGTTTTATTTTTGATTTCCACTGTAGGTTCAGAGATTTTTTGTTCGAATCCTGTGCAAAAAAATATGTTTAGATGCTTGTGTAGTTGCTTCTCTGTAGTGTAGGTGCTTTTGGGTTGAAAATAATTTGGGGTACGGGGTAGAATGAAATAGAATCGCCATTGTTGAAAACTTGGGTGACCTGTGTAGAAGACGGCATCTGCGGCCCGCATTGTGAAAATGCGGTCCGCATTTTGGCCGCATAACTAAACCCTAAGTCTTCTGAAGAAGATGATGAAATGCGGTGTCTTTGCGATCGCAGATTTAACATGCGGATCGCAAATTCACCGCAGAGTGATACAGAAAATTCAGTTTTGAACCATATATCCATGTCCATTCTGCGATGGTTATGCGGTCCGCATAGTGGTTATGCGACCGCATAACTCACAGCAGGATGAGACCCCCAGTTGAGACTGCAAGATCTGTGACAAGTCTGCGTTCTGCATTGTGGTTTTGCGACCGCAGATCAGGTCGCATTTTGAGTTTTTTTTTATTTTTATTTTTCTTCTTTTAATTCTTCTGTGTTTTCTCTCACTATGCTTATTGTTTCACTCACATCTCACCTTTGCGCAGGTATGGCTCCTAAACAAAAGCATGCTGCTGCAACACAAAAAAAGGCATCCTCCCTCCGTCCCAAGGCACAAGCAAAGCGATCAAGGACGGAGTCTGATGAACCACGCCCCTCCCAGTCTGATGAGGAGGTGCTCTTGCCGGAGGTTGACATAGTGGCTGAGGCTAGGAGGAAACAAGGAGATGACTACCAGCTACGCTGGGGGGTAGAAGGATCCAGGCAAAAGTATAGGGAAGGGCTCGTCAAGCGCAAACTCCTGCCCGAGAAGCAATTGAGCCTGAATGGGTTGAAAGAAATGTATCCCCATATATTGGAGAACATAAAGAAGAGAAGGTGGGAGTCCTTCACTGAGCCACCTGCTGAGTTTAATGAATCCCTTGTTCGAGAGTTTTACGCGTCATATGGGGCCTCCTGAACCAAGCACCATAAATGCAACAGAGTTTTCACTGATGAAGTGCTTGTTTGGGGGAAAACTGTCTTCTGTACCATCAAGGCCATCAATAAATTATACGTCCCAGATTGGAGTGCAGGCACAGCTGAGTATGATGAAAAATTTAAGAACAGGGAAAGTGAGCGAGGGTGGATTGCATCCGTCATAGCAAAGGGAACTCCTGCTTGGATCAACCCCGGGCAAAAGATCTACAAGGAGAGTTTTTCAAGAGAGGGTCATTTCTGGCTCAGTTTCTCACCTCTAGATTGATACCGACTCGAAACGAGACTGAAATAGCTATTGAGAAGGCCCTTCTCATTGCCTGCATTATGAGTGGTATCAAAATAGATGTTGGAGCTGTGATATTCCAAGAGATAGGGATTCGGGAAACACAGACTGCTACTTCACTCCCGTTCCCTTCTTTAATCACAACCCTATGCAAAGCCGCGCAAGTTCCTGTAGATGAGCGCAAAGACAAAACCGGAAAGGAAACACAGGTCATTGATATCACCAGACTTAGTGATGCTGTTATCCCACCCGTGGTTCCAGTTCAGGAGCAGACTACTGAAGAGCCTTCTGACTCCCAGCCCACTGTAACCCCTCAGGTTACTGTGGCAGCATCCTCCACCTCCGAGCCTGCTTCTAAATCCACCACTGTCCAGCCGGCTACAGCCATTCCTGCTGTCTCCAAGCTTGGTCTATTGGCTCAGCATGCCAATGCCAAGGTAGACCAGCTTTTGAAGACTTTTCCAACTCTCATCAAACAAGCCCTGACTCCGATGCAAGCCTCAGTGACAGAACTTCAACAGCAACAGTCAAAGTATGAGGATCGGTTACAGCAACTTGAGTTGAGGGTGGAAAAGATAGAGAGGGGGGAAATTAGTGGATTGCCTGGACTCAAGGAGGAGGTTGCTTCTATGAAGACCGAGCTCCAAAAGATGCAGAACTTGGAGTTCGATCTGTCACCCCTCCTTCCCACTGATGGTGACCAGGCTACAGGCACAGCACCCCCGGACTTAGGTCTTGATTTCTCCGCACTGATGACTGATACTGCCCCTCCTCCAGCACATATTGAGATCCCTTCTGGGGAGGAGTACGGAGGTTCTGGTAAGTCAGAGGATGAGGAGGAAGATGAGGGCGAGGATGAGGAAAGTTCTGGATATTCAAGCGATGACGGCCCTCAGGATAAAGGAAAGCAGATTGCGGATGCTTCTGTCGAGGATGTTATTATTGAGGATGCTGCTATGGAAGAAGTGGAGCAAGCAGATACGCAGAGAGCGATCCAGCAGTCTCTAGTAGACTTGACCCTGCCTACAGCTCCATCAACTGCCCCACCATCAGTGGGCGAGTCTAGCAGTTCACAGGCTCCAGCACCAGCCCCAGCTCCAGCTCCAACACCTGCTCTGAACCAGCCTGGGAGCACTCCTCCATCAGTAGAGGTCACTCCTCAGACCGAGCCCTCATCGGTCCCAGCTTCCACATCCGAGGGTGACCCCTCCAGCACTCAGCCAGCTACCAACTCCCATAGCACTTAGTGTGCCTCAGGGAGCCCCCTCAAACTCATATCTCTGTTCTTATGCATTGGGGACAATGCATGCTTTTAGTTGGGGGTGGAGGGTAGCATTGTAGATATTTTTGTGACATAGGAAACTGTTGTACATATGCATGTCTTTATGTCATAATCAAACTCATGTACTCATGTGTATTTTGTGTTATTAGTATGATTTCGGTACATGAGTTGTGTCATGTAGTCCGTGATGATGTTAATATTAGTGTTTGTTTTGTGTTCATATTAGTGTTGTGTGAATATGATACCGTTTTCCATATAAAAGAAAAGCAACAAAAATAAGTATATAGTAATTAGTAATCAATTCCCCTTGGTTTTTCTTCTCCCGGTTCTTTTCCAAGGGTGTAATAGTAGAACCAGGACAGTAGAATGAAATACCTTGACCTGTTTGGTGTAATTGTCTAGTCTCAAACATGTGTGTCTGTATATAGCATATACCCTTCTAGAGAAAACTATCAACTGTGTGAACTTGAGGCTCACTCTGTGGCTCTATGTTTACCTAAAGTTATACTTATACATATGATGAAATCTTTGAGTTGCCAAGTGTTGACTCGAGGGTTTCAAACTATGTGAGCCAAACAGTTCATGTGCCATGTGTGTGAGTCTTTGGGGTATATAATTCTTGTGTTTACTTCTGCTATCTAGAACTTGCCCCGATGGTCTTTCGATGCTTATAATAATTACACTTGGTTGGAGAGATGACCTTAGGCAGTCTTTGTGATCTTTCAAGCCAGTTAGACTTTCAAGCCACCCATTGTGTAGTTAACATCCTTAGTCACCCCATTTGAGCCTTTAACCTTTTCTTTGGCTACCTCATTACAAACCTTTTTCTTTTTGTAAAATAATTCCCTCTGTTGAACCCGTCCCTCCTTGAACATTGCGAATGAGGCTAAAAGCCTAAGTTGGGGGTGTGATGTCAAAATGGAAAGTGGTAAGGTTGTACATTGAGTGTAGAATCATATATCTCAAAGTGTGTGTGCTAAATTATTCAAGCTCCAAAAAGAAAACGTGTATAATAAAAAATAAAAAATAAAAAAACAAGAGAAGGGGAGAAAGAGAGAAATCTTTGTATATATATAAATTATGGAGCCTTGAAGGAAATGAGAGAGGTATTTAAGGTGGTTCTACATTGGGAACTAAATGCCAATGAGGCTTTGTGGGTTGAAAAGGAACATAGTGCAAAAGAATGAAAAATGTGAGTAGTGTTCAAAGAGGGTGAAGTCACTTGTATCCAAATGCTTATCCTACCCTTCCCCGAACCTACATTACAAGCTTAAAAAGTCCTTATGGGATCTCCAACCGAGCGTTCCTAAAATAAAGCGATGAATTAAAATAAGGGCAAGCCTATGGTATGGTATGTTGAAACATTTGAAACTTTTTCCGAGAGTGAGTGTCTTTGTGAATTCGTCCCTTTTTGTTTTGTTGTCATTGTATATAGTGTGATTTTGGGACTTTCTTTATAGTGAGGGCACATGAGCTGTAAGGTTGAATATAAGTTGAGCTTTGGAGTCAGATACAAGTGCACTCAGCTGAGGGTAGCACCTAGTCACCTTGTCGGAGGCTCAAAATTCACAAGTTTATTAGTTTTCCTTGCATATATTGGTTGGTTCAGGAAGGGTAAAACAATAGAAGTCACATGCTTGAAGTACTAGCAACAAACACCACCCATGGTCATTTTTGGTTCATGTTCTGTAAATAGAGTTTAGAGTAGAATACTGTCGTGTTAATTGCTTGAGGACAAGCAAGAGTTTAAGTTGGGGTGTTGATGTGCCGGAGAATTTCGGCACATTTCAATACTAATTGCTTAGATTTTAGCTTGTTTTAATGCAACTATCTCATTTACTTATGTAATTTTGGTGTTTTTACAGTACATAAGGACTAAGGACCCAAGAGCATGGAAATGAAAGCAAAAAGACAAGAAAAGAGCAAAATGCAGCAAAAAGATGGTTCTGCGACGCATTATGCGATCGCAGATCACATATGCGAGCCGCAGAATGAACACTCAGACCGCAGACAAAAACAGACTCCTGGGCAAATTTCAAGTCAAGAATGCGGTACACTATGCGACCGCAGAACCAGTCTGCGAGCCGCAAAGTGAACCGCAAACCAACCATGAAGGCTGCTGAAGGACGAATGTGCGATGCAAAATCCGATCACTTTTCTGCAATGCGAACCGCAGAGCTGGAATACGATGAAGATGTAAAAACTAGGGTTTCAGTCTGCGATGGGGACGTCCAAAATGCGGACCGCATGTCACTTATGCGACGAGAATACGACCACATTTCTGACCTGAAAGGGTAATTTTATCCGTTTTCTATCACGATTTTCAGTCCACTATAAATAGCTTTATGATGTTTTTGTGGGCTCATCTTGTCTGGTTTTTGAGCTACATTCCAAGACTTAAATATTCTACACTTTTGGCATCTTGTGGGTCAAGAATCTTCACTTTGTAAGCTTTATGAAAATTAATATTCTCTTGCTTTTGTATTTTAGTATGAGTAGCTAACTTTAAATACTAAGGTTGTGGACCCTAAATGGGTGTTATGTTAATGGGTGTTTAACATTGAATATATATATATAATGGTTGGTTGATATCAATTTATTTCTCATTCTTCATTTAATGTTGGTGGTTGCAAACATTAACAAATGCCATTAAATTCTTGCTTTGCTTGGGAAAGTGGGTTAGAATTTGGAAGAAGTAAATAGCAAAGACTCAAGGCTTTAAACCTTGTTTAATGAAATCGCTTAGGAATAAGTGGGTTTTATTTGGCATAAATTGATTGCTCTTAATTGCGACTCTTTTACATTTGGAAAAATTATAAAGAGGAAATACTACCCAACTATCGGAAAATATTGGGTAGTCATTTAGACATCATTTGCATATCAAAAAGACCTTCCATTAGAGATATATCATATTAACACCGATAGCATTGCACTTCATTAAAGGGGACACAACCTTGGTTACTTTAATCCAATTAGTCACACTCTTAATATTCCAACTAGTTGTTATTTTGAAACAAACTCAATCCATACTCTTGTTACTATTAATTCACACTCTTGTTACCGTTTAACTGGATAGAATTACGACTTTAGTCGGGCAACACACTATTCTAGTAACCTTTTCACACCTATTCCCTGTGGGATTCGACCCCAACCTTGTTGGGTTATTATATTTGACATCGACCGCCTTACACTATTTCTTAAAGTGTAATTTGAGCGTATCAGGGGGACAGATAAATCACATGGTAGAAGTAGACTTATACACAATTAGTCCTTAGACTAGAGTATCAACATAGTTATCACATAGTGTTCATGCCAAAAGTCCAATAGCATTAAGTGTCAAACAGAGTCACACATTAGATCATATAACAATTAGGTGGAAGGGTACAAGTTTGTAGTAGTAGATGTTAGGCAGAGGATGAAAACACATAAGAAAACATTGGTCATGCTGAGATAAGAGGAAAAATAAGCACATAGACAAAACAAGTATTCTAGCTTCATAGGAATCAAACAAAGTCATAGTGGATCACACAAGGGAAAGCAAGAGACATATTAGACTAAAGGGAAAGGGAAATCACAGAGACATGCTGGTTACATGGTAAAAAATAGAACCATAAGTAAAAGCAAAAAAGGAATAACAAGAATCTTAACATGAACTGAAACATGTTGTTTTGGGATACTGTAAACTTAAACCAGAAACATACCAGTCAAGAGTGAGAATAGAACAGCAAGGTGCAGAGAGGTAGAGCAACAGGGCAATAGTATGCGGATGCAAGAGAGCAACAGTAATTACTCAGTCTTGGCTTTCAGCCGATTGAGTGATCAGTAACTAGTACGAGAAGCAAAGAGAATATGTATGAGAGTAAGAGAGAACTCAGAAAGATATTAGTATGCTCTGTGTGTATGTGTTTGTGTATGGCTTAGTGATATTTTGTGTGTTATGCAAAAGAGAATAGAGTATTTATAATGCTGAAAATGAGTAAGAAAAATAAGGTAAAGGAGTACTAGTTTTTACATAATTATGGAAACAATAATCAATCAGCATCAATTAAAGACACAGACTCCTTTAATTAGGGAATCCAGTTCAAACGGTACAATCATAGCTAAATAAGGAAAAGGAGTCAACTCATAGACTGATTTTAACCTATGGAGCAGTAACTTCATGTGGCATATAATAAGGGCCAAATACATAATGTTTTAAACAAGGAAGATATATATTGCACATAAATAAGGTAGAATTCAATCTAGTTCTGAAAAATCAATCAGAGTACCACGGATGAGACTGAAAATCTCAAGAAATCGGTGCTAATTAGGGAAAACATATCACAAATAAGGAAGCAATACATAATTATAGGAGAAACACACAAAAGCATATATTCAATGAAAATGTCACAGTTTTGCGGAAAGATGCATAGAATCGATGGAGTCTTTAGGTAAACAAGTAGTCAGACCTAATAGCCATTAAATAGCACTTAAATCAGAGAAGCCCTAAACAGGGGGTCATAGAACAGTAGAGGATTAAGACTCCTAACAACGAGAATCACAGAGAATACATGAACAGCTTCACAAGAAACAAACACTCATAGTCAAGACGGGCTAGAAAGAATTAGGGCTTTCCAGCCTAGTAACTCAGATAGCAATGCAAACATAAGAGGATCGTTCAAAATACAGTAAAAATCCCTAAACTAGAAGTAAAACTGTTTTTGAAAAGGGGTTAAGAAGCCCTAATTTTGAAATTGAACGATCGTTTAAAGATGAGGCTTTTTTCAGAGAAAAGAAACGTAGAAAAACTTCGTAATACTGTAGATCTAGAGTAGATCTAAAATAAATTGAAGAACATGGGGTTAGGGTTTCGTGGAACCCAAAGAAGAGGAAGAACCTCAGAGATGGCATCGGCTTAAGCCGGAACAGGTTGTAGACCATTACTCAGGTGGCCGGAAAGTGGCATGGGACAATGGGAGGCAAGAG